AAGTGAATGTACAAAAGCATATAAATAAATAAATAAAATAAATTTATTTATTTATTTTGATTTTACTACAATTCGTTTGAATCGAAAATTCGTTTGTGGTTGATCTATTGAGCATTTTAAATACATACATATGTATGTGTACATATCTCTCTCTCTTTTATTTTATCAGATTTGTTCATAAAATATCGCTATAAAAGTCTTTAAGCGATTTCCAAAAATATATATTTCTCAATTTGCTTGTATTTATTTGTGTGTATGTACGTTGTATGATATATTTAACTGTTCCTTAAATGTTTAAACGTAAAATTGATTTCGATAACGTTTTCCACCCCAATCCATATAGTGAAAGACAATGTTGGATTTATTAATAAAAAATACTGTACTGTTTGTAGTCTCTTTGTAGAGTTAAATCTAAAGTTAATTTATAATAACTCGACATGTGTAGGTGATTTTTTTATACCACAATGGTATGGACCAAACACAGACTGACTGGTAAACGGTTACTGTAGCCTATGAACACCTGCGACACTAGGGGTGTCGCGTACACGTTGCTGAATCTAAAGAAACCTTAATATATCCTTTTTGAAGAACTTACTCACTGTAGTCTCTAGGGAAAACCTCAGCAGCGAGTTCATTTTACAGCCTGAGCGTTTGTGGAAGATAATTCCATTGAAATAACACTGTACGTGACTAGATTCAAGCGTGTCATGATGAATTCCTTGTTGATACATTCCGTAATTAAAATATTGTTTTATCACAAAGTGGCATAATTGATAAGTTGTTTTATGTAGTTTTTACATTATATAATGGAATATATACTAAACTGATATACCGTGTATTTTATCATAAAGGTCAGTCGGTAGTTCACTTAATGCTAACATTATGTCTACTATTACGCTTGAGTTAAATATAGTGAAACATACAAAATTAATTTTTTTTTAAGTAAAAAAAATTGTCTGTTTAAAAATTGTCACAATGTAGTACACCGCTCTATCCGCTGAAATCGATGCTCCTTTCCACTTTGGGTGTGTTGGAAGAAAACTCTATTAGAGTTAAGCTCGCCTTTGTACATTTGATTACCTCTGTCATATTCTTATAACTGTACTGTACAATAAAGAATTAAATAAATATATAAACAAACAAACAAAAAAAGCAAGCAAGCAAGCAAGCAAGCAAGCAAGCAAGCAAGCAAGCAAGCAAGCAAGCAAGCAAACAAACAAATAAATAAATAATATATGTGTAATAACAAGGGCTCTCATTGGACACTGAAAACTAAACAAGCACATGGCCCAACTAGGCGTATGTCCAAAAAGTGTTTGCAGATTTTGAGAGAGGAAGAAATGCCGCAGCACTGAATGTATGGCTATAGCCCACTCATACATAAATGATATATCTCCTTTGGAAAACACACTCTATACCTTGAGGAGGATATATCATTCGCTTATTTCATATCAATGACATAAATCACGTCTAGATTACATAGCAAGATGAAACTGGACGTAACAGTATACTCTGTTATGTCCATGGTACTGCACATGTATATAGGCGACGGTTACCACTTTCCATCAGGTGGGCCGTCAGTTTGTTTGTCATTCTAATTTGCATAAAAAATATATCACCAGAGGGAGACTTTGTACAAAAGTCGATTGCTTAGGTACCTCTGTCCTATTCGTGTTTCAATCGTAAAGCAGTTGTGTTTGCTTGGCTGTGTTTCGGTTTGAAGGGTGGGATATGGCGTGAATTTACTGGGTACGGAGGAATAACACCTCAGGAATGGCAACGCATGGGGGGTATCATGGGCGAAACAGTATATTCTATTATGTCCATGGTACTGCTCATGTCTATAGGCGACGGTTACCATTTTCTATCAGGTGGGCCGTCGGCTTATTTGTCATTCTAAGTTGCATAAAAAATATATATACACCAGATTTTTGGTTAGACCTTTAGGAATACAGTTTTAAAAATCACATCCAATTTGGTGCAGTAGTTCTTTTGCGTAATGCTGGAACAAACAAGAATAAACAGACAGATTTTTTTTAATTTCTTGTTTTAGCTTGTATTAGTCTTATCAAGACCTATCATATTAAATTTTTCTTAAATATCTCCCATATACATGTAGATACTGGTTAGTTACAATTGTTATTTGTGGCGTACCGCATTCATTTGGTACCTAGCTTAGTTTATTCTATAGAATAAAAGACGAAAGAAGTTTTTATACCATCTGTATAAAAACAAAAATCTTGAACAGCACTACAGAACTTGAAGATTGCCCAAGTTGCGTTGTTAAAGACGCACGTGACCTAACATTTGCTGGTTTATGGATGGTGTGTGGAGTGGTAAAACTTAAAAAGCGGTTGCATCTAGTGAAAATATAAAATGTGCTAACGTTTTTATATTTATATTTATGTACACCTGCTAATAATATAATTGCTTATCTGTCTATAATATCATTAAGTAAGCATCTAGGAATATGTATAATAATAAGTAATAAAAAGTAATAAAATAGAAACTTTATCTATGAATATGCCTTATTACATATTTAGTTTTTTTTATACAACTTAGAATGGCAAACAATCTGACGGCCCACCTGATGGAAAGTGGTAACCGTCGCCTATAGACATGAGCAGTACCATGTACATAACAGAGTATACTGTTTCGCCCACGATACCCCCCATGCGTTGCCACTCCTGAGGACTCAGGTGTTATTCCTCTGTACCTTGTAAATTCATGCCATATCCCACTCTTCAAAACGAAACACATCCATGCAACACAGCTGTTTCACGGTATCTATAGGCGACGGTTACCACTTACTATATATATTATACACTTACTTACTATATATATATATATATATATATATATATATATATATATATATATATATATATATATATGAATAATGCATGTTTAAGTTATATGAGATTTCTTGAAAATGTTTTCTTGTGCCTTTATATCAACATGAGTGTGTACAATTGAATTTAATTAAAATTATAAAAAGAGAACAAAATAATTCTTAGAATCATTAGAAGTTATAACAAAACAGGAATATAGTTAGATCATTTTAATTAATCACAGCTGCAAAAACACAGTTATTATATACTTACTAGAGGGAGACTTTGTACAAAAGTCGTTTGCTTGGGTACCTCTGTCCCATTCGTGTTTTAACCGTAAAGCAGTTGTGTTTGCAAGGCTGTGTTTTAGTTTTAAGGGTGGGATATGGCGTGAATTTACAAGGTACAGAGGAATAACACCTGAGTCCTCAGAAATGGCAACGCATGGGGGGTATCATGGGCGAAACAGTATACTCTGTTCTGTCCATGGTACTGCTCATGTCTATAGGCGACGGTTGCCACTTTCCATCAGGTGGACCGTCAGCTTGTTTGGCATTCTAATTTGTATAAAACAAACACAGTTATTTTGATTTTATTGCCGGAAGCATTAAGTATCATCATCTCGAGTAAGTATTTAAAATGTATCGAATGAAATTATTGTTACTCAATTATTAATTCATTGGAAAATAGATTCGATTTCTTAAACTTTTTGAAATTTTGTTTCAAATTTCTAATCATCAATTAGTAATTGGCAAATTTGGTGAAATTTAATTTTGAAAATTTCTCAGAAGTAAGACGTACAACACGTTACTTTTCTTACACTTTGTTTTGCAAAGCTCTGTATATATTATCTAATTTTAGGAGTGGTGCTGATCCACAAGTGATTATGTTGAGAAATTCTAAAAGGTTCCTGTTTTACTTCTGGATGAGATTCCAAGAATAATACTGTAATTAAATTTATTAATGTAATTGTTATCATTCAGGATATTGTGTATATCACTATACTCTGTTGAAATTCTCTAACAATTGTTATTCAAAATCGTATATTTAAATTAAGTACATAATATGAAAGCTGTGTAGGTCCTGGCATAGAATAGGCCACCCTTTCCTTTCTTGTGGGTGTCGTAAGAGGTGACTAGGAGAGGGCGAGAGATTGGCAGCAGCGTCCCTTTAAAACATCACCAAAAGCCAAACTGCGGTTGCCAACACGCTTGCCAAGCGTAGCATCTACTGTCAAAACGTTTTTAATTTTAAAGAAATTATTTCAACATTTATTACATATTTAAGGGACACAAATAAATTTATGAATATAACAGTAATGACGGTTACCTTTAAAATGAAGCTTATTTATTTATTTAACTCTTTTCATTATTATTATTTCAGCCCTTAACCGTCCACTGCTGGACATAGGCCTCCCTTATAGACAGTCATGAGGAACCTGTATCTATTGACTCCCTGGAATACATTTGAAATCGTTTAGGGGGGGGGGGGGTCCTGCGTTGTCACTGCGTTTGTTCTTCAATTTATTTAGACTCTTTATTGTACCAAAAATATAAAAATATACAATCACAATTAAACAATCCAAGTGAATTACAGTAACATAAAATACAGATTAAAATATATACATAAAGGTACAATAAGCGCTCTTATCGCTACGGCAATCTATTACAGACAACCTTTGGTTAAAGAAGAACATACGAGTATAGAAGAAATAAATTTTAGAATTTAGGTGGAAATGAGAGATCGTAAACGGTGTTATTTAAAAAAAAAAAGTAGTTGGTAGTAGTTGTTTCTCAAATAAAGTTAATAATAATAATTTTTCATGGAACTGAAATATAGAGCAGTAATTCCAAAAGTTAAAGGAGGGATTTAATAAGGAAGTTAACTGGTATATCATATGAGTTTTATCGTTAAATATCAAGTTCAAGCAGCTATTCTTAATTAACGGGATCAAAATGATGTAACAAAGATCTATTGAATAATAATTTAAATAATGAAAATACTTCTTAAAAAAATATTTTTAAAATTAAGTCAATATTATCGGAAAATATACAAAAACAAAATAAAATACACCATTCTCAAGTTCACGATTGTGTAGTGTTTATTTATTTTGTATGTTAAACATTATATAAACAAAAGTAAACAAGATGATAACAATAAAACAAACAATAAAGTTTACATATTTTATTAATTAGAAACAAAATTGATAAACCATTGATAATATTTTACATGACATAACACACACTCTGCTGGGACGATAGTGATAAGAAGTTTAAAAATTATAAATTCCACAACATTGATATATTTTATCTCATTAAAGTCAGATATTTGCTTATTTTATAATTGAAATGGAATTATCAGACTATCTTTTGTTAGCTCATTTAGAAATATTGTCAGTCAACAATATTTACAATGTTATTGTGATTAGTTTATACAATAATAGGTTAACAGCCAAACAAATAAAAGGATATGACCAAATTAAAGTTGCTCCTACAAGTTCTCAATTCGTTTCTTTACTAAGTTTAGCAATAGCTAAAGTTATATAGTATATAAATAGTAATAACTGTAGTCAAGTGTATCTGAATAGTAACTTATGACTTTTGATTCAGTTCATGTCATATTGTGTGTATGAATTGATTGCTAACAATCTCAAGTATTATATCCAGAATCTATTATAAATTTATGTAATTACTCGTCTTTGCTTTATTGATTTAATTAGTTAATTGCTGAGTCCAAAACTACCAGTTTTCTTTGAAGCAATCTATACAAATGTACTTGTTCAAGCGACTACTAAAAGAAGAAGGTTTCTGATTTGTTTATTGAATCGATTTTGATAATTGGTTTTGCAGTTGATAAAGTTTGACTCTTGTCTTTATTTCATATTAATTTTGAGCTAATTATTATTTATTCATAAATAAATAATAATGGTTCTATAATAAATATACAAGAATACAAAAATAAAACATATAAAAATACAATAATAAAATTTAAGCGTATTTCTCCTTAAGAATCCTTCTCAAAAGTTTTCCAGAAGGATTTTTTGGAAGACTATCCAAAAACACTATTTCTTTGATTCTTTTGAATTCAGCTACTCTTTCTGATACATAGTTTAATATATTCATCGCTTTAGTTTTAGAGCCTTCTTTCACAACAACGAATGCTTTAGGAGCTTCTCCAGTTCTTGAGTCTGGTACTCCAACTACCCCAGCATCTTCAACATCAGGATGTTCTCGGAGAATGCTTTCCAATTCTGCTGGTGCTACTTGATATCCCTTCACCTTGAATTAGAACATTAAGTTGATAAAATAAAAGTATTTCTTAACAATCAACTTCAGATACTTAGGAATTATCAATTTTAATATCTCTTATTATGATACCTATTGTATGATAGTTATAATTTTTCGAATGACTGATAATTTTCTTCATATTCTTTTGAATTACTTTTTTTTTATAAACATAGATATTGGTTAGGTATAAATTTATATTTATATTCATATAAATACTGAATGATTTTCAATTATTATCAGGATTACCTTTATCAACTCCTTAACTCTATCGGTTATAGTAAGAGCACCATCTTCATCAATAGAAGCAATGTCTCCGGTTCTAAACCATCCGTCTTCTGTGATCACTTGTTTCGTTGCTTCAGGATTATTTCTATAGCCTTTCATGACTTGAGGTCCCCTGACTAAAAGTTCACCAACCTAAAAATTTATAAACTTGTTTATTTGTTTGTAAATTATTAGTTTGGCCATAAGATATCTTGTAGTTTCGATTTCATTAGTTAACTATTTTAACATCTCTGTTCTTACTATTTACTAATAGGTTTTAATTTGTATAAACTTGAATAAATATTGTGTTATTTCACCTCATTAGGGCCCAAAGCAATCTCATCCGTATTTATAATTTTCAACTCAGTGTTTGGTACGGCAACGCCAGCTGACACGTAATTTTTGCTATTATTTGGCAGAGTTGTAACTAATGGAGCAGTTTCTGTTAAACCGTACAATTGCAAGAAGGCCAAATTCTTCTGAAAATTAAAAAATAATTTTAATATTACTATTATATTCGAATGATGAACTAGTAAAAAATCTATATTGACGTAGTAAAGTGAGTGAAATATTTACATGGTGTTTATTTTTAATGCTTTATTCTCATCAGGTGAATCATATTATAACAGAATCTTTTAGAATAATGTGGCACTAAAAATAATGAAATTAATGATAATAAATAATTTTTGAATATTTTTTTTATAAATTTGAATTATTATTACATAAATTTGGATTTGAGTTGTTGAGCAGTTATATCCGATTACAAACCAAAGTAAAAATTACCAATTAGTATTTCATATGTTTCTTTTTTCCGAAATTATAAAGTAACGTTTTTTAATGCGACATAGAACGGCAAACAAGCTGACGGTCTACCTGATGGAAAGTAGTAACGTCTGCTATAGACATAAGCAGTACAATGGACATAACAGATTATACTGCTTCGCCCATGATACCCCTGTATAACGTGTTACATATTCTATATTTTAAAAAGTATGCACCATATTCTTGTGTGTGTGTGTGTCTTACCTTTGTTTTATTCAAAACTCTGTATATATCTAATTTTGGAAGTGGTGCAGCACCACAAGTGATAACGTTAAGGCTTTCTAAATCCTCATTTTTTACTTCTGGATTAGATCCCAGGAATAATACTGAAATGGTAATTTTATTATTTTATCTTAAAAATAATGTATGGGTTGTCTGAAAATATTTTAATACATAATATTGCATTTGGGAATCTTAAATTACAAACAGGTTAAAAAAGTATGACGATTTGATTATCACTTGATTTAAGTTATTTTTCAAGTCTACACTTTATTAAAAAAGACAAGAAAGATCATACTTAATGGAGGTGCGGCACAGAAAATACTGATTTTCTGTTCTTTTAACGTAGTTAAGAAGCTCTGTGGTTGAAATTTGGGCAAAGTAACAACTTTCACTCCAACTGATAGTTTGTGGAGTAAAACAATTGATAAGCCATAAATGTGATAAAACGGTAGTACTGCAAGTGTAGCATCTTGATAGGTACCTGAAATAAATTATAAAGAGACTAATATACAAAAAAGATCACTAATAAAAGCAGCAAAAAAAAAAAATGAAATTGAGAATAAAGATATTAATTTAAATTATTTTATGGAAAGCCTGTATAAATATCAGTTCCAAAGTTGGAGTCACATTTTGGTGATTTTTATTATTATATACATGTACTTCATATATATAGATAATAATCATCTTTATTTAATATTAGTTATTTAAGAGTACGTAAATATAATAAAGCCAACATTAATAATACATTATTATAAATTATTAAGTAATCTTGAGCTAGTCAATACAAGTAAAAAACGTTTTCAAGTTTGATATTGCAAAACAAAATAGATAAATAATTTTATGCAAAAGAAATATTGAACTTCATACAAACAGTCGCTAAAGTGGATAACATGGAATTTTTAATAAAATTACAGGACACGCGAACTCAGTCTTTGGAAGAGTAATGCATGAGTATCGCATGCATTAATATTTTATATGAAGTCTTAAGGCTATTTTTACATTAAGTGGTCAATTAGATTGTTTGCAATTTCAAGTTGCAAAAAATTGTTTTTACGATTAATCTTACTTGTAGTATCCTGGTAATGTCGTAGTCCATTAGAGTTTTGTTGAACACAATTTGATACAATATTTCGATTAGTAAGCTCTACTCCTTTAGGAAGACCTGTTGTGCCGCTGGAATATGGCAAGAGGGCTATATCGCTTGGCGTTCTAGAAACATCTTTTAGCACATCATAATCTACATTAGTAGCGTTAGCTAGTTCATCAAAAGCTATAACATCGTCTGGTAGATCATTATTTGCATATCCTCTGCAAGAAATGATTGGAATATCCATTTTGGCTAATTTAAGTGCATCTTTTAAAACGGAAATAGTCTCCGGTATTCCGATTAACAATTTTGGTTTTGAAAGCAAAAGTTGCCTGTGTACTTCATCTGTAAAATAAATAACCTATATAAAGATTATTTTGTTACGATGTTCTGTTGTTCTATTAGAAGTATGTACCTACATTTATAATGTTATTAGTATTGACAGGTGATGACTTTATCAGAATAGAAGAGAGAACAATGGTGATGAAGGGAAAGAAGAAATCAAAGAAGTACCAGTAGTTAGATACCCTTTTAGAATAAATAGGTACTAGAAACAAAGAACAACAATCTTAACACTCTCTTGATTACATATAAGTATATAACTTGTGGAAATTAATACTAAGCAGTCATATTACTAAGAAACTTTTGTATATACACAAAGACAAATATAGATTCAACGTCTTTTAAACGATTTACTAAAATTTTACATATGAGAATATTGGAGAGGATAAAACTATTCAGACCTTGTAACAATTAAAGATAATGTTAATTTCTAGTGTTGTTAACCAGTAACTATTTAATACATTGATATCAATTGGCCGAAACGCTTTTTTGTTTACAGCCAAGATTTACTTACGAGCTGTATAAATAGGATTCACTGTAGTAACTTCAGCACCAGCTTGCAGTGTTCCGAGTATGGCTAATGCATAATCAGGCGAATTGGGCATCATAATGCATATTACATCACTGTCGCGTATATTCAAACTGTTCCTCAGCTTTGCAGCTAAATTTCTTGAGTTTTTATACAGTTGGTGATAGGTGAATGACCGTTTTGTTATACCACATATCTATAAATTAACATACCTGAAATTAGTATTACTACGAAGGTTGGACTGCACGTCACCAAAACCGTCTAGTTCTAAACCAAGCAAAACTTGTATTAACTTGTACCAAAAATTGATAGAAATATTTAAATACATTTTATACATAGAAAATATTATGTTAACAAACATATTTATGAATACGAATGTTTGTATTGTACAGGAATAAAATCTGTGACCATCGAGAGATGACCAGTGTGTTAAACCACTACACCATTTTTTAAAGATGAAGGTAAAATGGTGCATCCGAATCGAACCTGTGACCATCGAAAGATAACCAGTGTGTTAAACCACTACACCTTTTTTAATGGTGAAGGTAAAATGGTGCATCCATTTTTCAGAGTTGTATTCCTAAGGTTCAAACCTTAGGAATGCAATTCTGAAAACCGTATTCAATTTGGTGCAATTATTTTTGAGTGGTGCTGAAACAAACATACAGACAGATTAACTGACAGACAAAATTTCGAAAAACAATTGTTTTGGCTTCTATTATTCTTAGTAAGTCCATTTATATCAATTTTACATAAATATCTCCCAAGTACAGATATATAATTACAGTACAATTATTGTAGTTACACCTTTATTATATTTAGTAAGATAAGAAACAGTAAGATTAAATATATATTAAATTTTATTACTTAAAAAATAAATAAAAAAATATATTACTCGTTTAGATAATATAAGTATATTAATATATGCAATAAACTTTAAAATGAATGCACTAAATTATATTAAGTATTATTACTATATGACTTTATTATGGCAGATGTTATTATGTCTGCTACAAAGAAGTCACTATATTTAAAACATAAATGTAATAAAGTCTAGAAATAGCTATTTGTATAGATATAAAAAATTTGGTATTGTGTGATCGCAGTTTCGCGTTTTACCAAACATGCTGTTTATGTCCTTCAATAGATATTTGTCTCGTTATTGTTTTAAAATTATATATTTATTTATTTATTTATATATTTATTTATTTATTATTGCCATGTAGGTCTCGACATGGAGTAGACCACCCTTAAGTGGTGTCGTAAGAGGCGGCTAAGGGAGTTTTTGTTGATGGGATGGGCAGCAGCGTCCCTTTAAAAATATCACCAAAAGCCTAACTGTCATTGCCAACCCGGCTGCCAAGCGTGACAACTATTGGCAAAAGCCCCCTTATGGGGGAGGCTATGTTCAGCAGTGGACAGTAACAGTTGATACAACAACAATATATGTATATTTATATATATATCAATAATGTTACAATATGTAGATATCTAAATGTATGTTATGTACTTTATATATTTGTTTATGAAATATATATTACTATAAGTAATTAGATGTATATGTATAGTTTTCATATGAATATTTACGTATGTTTTTTTTTTAATTTTAGTTTAAGTAGTATTATTATATTTTTATTGCGCTAAACAGCTATCACCTTTTTTCCTCCACCAAAAGATTGTTTGGAAGAGATAGCTCTAGTGATAAGACCGCCTTTTGTACTTCATATCTGTAATATATACATACTATTTGTATTGTTCGTTAAGTGGTGTAATAAAGAGTAAATAAATAAATATTTTTTTTTATAAAATTGAAAGACAAGCAAGTTAACAGTCCACATGGTAACAGATGGAAAGTGTTAATCGTTGCCTATAGGCATGAACAGCACTTTTAATGATATATAGTAATCTATGACGTATCCCTCATGAGTTGCCATTTCTGAGGACTATGGTGTTATCTCTCAATACCCTGTAATTTCATTGTCATATTTTTCAAACCAAAACACAGCCACGTAATGGGAAAGGGATTGTTAGTAATGGAGACTGAGAATCCCATTGCTAGCAATATGTCCAACCAGGTCGACCTCCTCGCGGTTCCCCCTGGAAACTATCATGGTTAATTCCCGATGAATTCATCATGATGGGCTAACTGGCCTGTTTTCATTCTCATCTATCACCCTTCAGTGGTGCTCCGCCAGCGTATTCCGTTAGCGCAGGCGGGGTGGGTTACCATTTCATTTTCACCCAACAAAAAAAAAACATAGCCACGTAAACACAGTGTAGGATATGACATGTCAGCACGAATGTGACCGATATGCCCATGTGTACTATATGCCGTATATATAAGTACATAAAAACATGTATAATTTTAGAACATTTGCACCAAGTTATTTATACATGTGTGATAAGTATTTGTATTTGCAGTTCTACTGAAATACGCTTCGCAAAATATATAGAATACACAAACATGTTCTATGATATGTATTTTGATGAAAATGGCTGGTAATGATAGATAGATAGATACTGTTTATTGTTTTATTTTCAAAAGATTATTTTAGTAACTTTATTATAAACACAAACAATTATAAGAATTTTTGTTTTATACAACTTAGAATGGCAAACAAGCTGACGGTCCACCTGATGGAAAGTGGTAACCGTCGCCTATAGACATGAGCAGCATGACCATGTACATAATAGAGTATACTGTTTCGCCCATGATACCTCCCATGCGTTGCCATTCCTGAGGATTCCTCTGTACCCAGTAAATTCACGCCATATCCCACCCTTCAAACCGAAACACAGCCATGCAAACACAACTGTTTCACGGTTGAAACACGAATGGGACAGAGGTACCCAAGCTATCGACTTTTGTACAAAGTCTGCCACTGAGAAAACAATGGGCGATCTTATCGCTACTAATGACTTCTTCCATGCAACCTTTGAATGGAAAAGAGTAATAAACAGTTTGACCGGTGGCACGAAACTCTGTTCCCTTGATAATGTCATATATACTTACGATTATAAAGAGGAGAGAATTTATTTTTTTATTAATTTTTAGACTGCATATTTTATGTTTTATTAGAGACGGGATAATATGGATTATTTAGGTAAACTAAAATTCGAATCACGAATTAATAATGGGATCCACCTCACGTTCAAACCTTGTAACAAAATAAGTTTTGTGGCATGTATATAGCACATGCAGGGTTAAACAGTATATTAATATTGAGACTGACAGATTAGTTTATTTTAATTACTTTTATAGTATTTTTCCTATGGGATATTATTATGGGGTAAAACAGCCGACATTCAAGTCATTAAGAGAAAAATTTAATGAAGCAAATATTTTCTATAATAGGTCTTTTTCCATAAAAGATTACAAAAAAATGAGCATTAAATGTTATAATAAGATTTCGAAAAATATTTTGGATCTAGCTTTTAATAAATTTAACACTGTTATTAAAAACACTTATTAAACAAAGCATATTACACACTAAACGATTACTTTTTTCTTATACAATTTAAAATGGCAAACAAGCTGACGGTCCACCTGATGGAAAGTGGTAACCGTCGCCTATAGACATGAGCAGTACCATGGACATAACAGAGTATACTCTTTCGTTCATGGTACCCCTCATGCGTTGCCATTCCTGAGGACTCAGGTGTAATTCCTCTGTACCCTGTAAATTCACGCCATATCCCACCCTTCAAATCGAAACATTGCCATGCAAACACAACTGCTCCACGGTTGAAACACGAATAGGACAGTGGTACCCAAGCAATCGACTTTTGTACAAAGTCTCCCTCTGGTACTTGAATATCATCCCGTGCATGATGGACTACCACCATTTTTAATGACCATGTAATATTAGACATAGTACATTTAAATAAATACACATAATGTTAACAGAGATTTAAAAGAGTTACTGTTGTGTTTCTTGCGGGCTCTTTTTAACAGATAACTTTCCAAACCCTGCAGTAGATTTAAAAAAAAAATGAAGATTTAAAAGTGCTTGTAAACAAGACTATTTGAATTTGAATAGTTTGTTAATAACACGCGAATCTCGTTTAATGCAGCTGTGTAACATGCGTTGACGAGGAGTCTGTATATACTTTATTTGTTGATTCAGGTGAGAGAGTAATAAATAAGTACTATATTATTATGACTGGAATGCAAATTTTCAAATCTGTAACGTCTAATCTAAAAATATTCCAAAGAGACCTTGAAAATATAAATTGGATATATATAGAGAGATCATGCCTAATGTTATTGATATGTCTGTATATACTTTATTTGTTGATTCAGGTGAGAGAGTAATAAATAAGTAACATATTATTATGACTGGAATGCATATTTTAAAATCTGTAACGTCTAATCTAAAAATATCCAAAAGAGACCTTGAAAATATAAATTGGATATACACTAATAGAAAAAATTGAGGGATCAGAAAAACAAATTCTAATTTTTAGGTGATATTCAATAGGCTGTAATTTGGAGAAAAATCATCGCAGAGACATTTTAAAAAAAAGCAAATTATAGCCCTAAGTGTCTAGATTTTGGATCAAAACTGGAAAAATTTTCATTTCAATTTTTTTCAGGTAATTTTGAAAAAACACTGACAAAAAAGTTTAAATAGTAATAATTTATGTTTTTTTTACGCCTTCGGTCTTTAATTTTTTTTCGACATAATCACCATATGGACCAGATAACTTGTTTATTCAAATTACTTTTTTAAATCCTCGATATGATCTTTTTTTCGTGGAGATATCGGATTTTGATTAAAAAAGGGTCATTTTGTCTTTGATTAACAATATCTCTGCAACTAATGATTGCGTAGAAAGTTGAAGGTGGGTTTCGGAAACTTGAATAAATTTCCTACAAGAATGAGCCATTGTTTTTTGAAAACTTTTTTTCATTCTTGACATGATCATTGAACTTAAAAGAATATTCTCGAAAAATATTTTTTTGAAATTTTTTTTCGATGATTCAGAAAATTATTAATTGATTTTTCTAATTATATTTATAATTTTTAACACTGGTTGCAATAAAAATGTGCATGAAGCCGAGATTTTTTTATTATTTTTTAAAGTTTATGAGCTTTTTGGTACAAAAATGTGATCTTTCAGTTTTTTCAAAAATTTGATCGAGTAAAACAAAGAATTGGCTAAATGGATTAAATTGAAACTTTGTCCTCACAAAGTTTCAATTAAATTTTTGTTGGTATATTGAACTGAAAAAGGCATACTTAACATTACGGGTTTCCTCAATATTTTTTATTTAGCGCTTTACTTTGCAAAAAAACCATTAAAAGCCCTATTTTTGTTGTATTTTCAAAAACATGTCAAGAATGAAAATAAAATTTAAAAAAAATAATGACTTATATATAGAGATTTTGCCTAATGTTATTGATATATCTGTATATACTTTATTTATTGATTCAGGTGAGAGAGTAAAGAATAAATAAGTAATATATTATTACAATTGGAATGCAAATTTTAAAATCTGTAACGTCTAATCTAAAAATATCCAAAAGAGACCTTGAAAATATAAATTGGATATATATAGAGACCTTGTTTAATGTTATTGGTATGATGAAACTTTTTAATGCATATATCCTTCATCTATTCGATTTATATACTCTTTTAAAACTGATGACCATTAGGGAGCAACACTATCCAAGGATTACTTACTGCATAAAAAAATGATGAAATGTTAGGTACTCTGCTAGCGTTGCTGGACTGCTCCCGGGCATTTGATGAAAATGTATAATTTTTATTGGCAAAAATACATTATTAGGGTTTTAGCGTTTCAGCTATTGATTGGTGCCAGAGCTATATTTATTTATAGCAATATTACAGCGTATAAACCAAAAAGAACATATTCTAATCGGGAAAGCCATTTCTGAGTTTTAGTGAGACTATATATATATATATATATATATATATATATACAATATATAAATCAATTATATAATATTTAATAAATCAATTAAATAAGTATATAAGCTATATATATATATATATATATATATATATATATATATATATATATATATATATATATATATATATAGTTTCAGTCTATGGGCGAGGCCTATGTCCAGCAGTAGATTGTTAAAGGCCGATATGATGACGATGGCCAGAATAAATTTGTTTTATCAGTAATCAAGAAATAAAATTTCGGAAAGTTTAATTCATTAAATCTTTTAACTTAGAAGCGTATTGAATCTGAAATAACAGAAAAAAAAATGCTTTATGTACTTACAACTGCAGTCTTGTCCGGCCATTTCTCCATATTCTCCCAAATATGCTCAGGAATTAGTCTATTGGGTATTTCTACATCTTTCGCCGGTGATTTTACAATATTACCAGACGTCCATGTACCTTCATTTACGTATTTGGTCAATGAATAGTTTCTGCTTACCAAAAGTCGTGCTAAACTTCTAGAAACCACTTTTGCTGTTGCCATTATTGTCTGAAATGAAATTAAAAGTTTTTTAAGTCATTATAATAATATTTTAACTACAAATTTCAAATATATAATTGGAACATAACGCGATAAAAAAATTATGTACATATTTCCATTGCGTCTAGTCCTGATCGTGTATTTAAAATAAGTGTAAACAACGCTATAGTTTTAAATATTTTAATTACTGTTCAAAATACAATAATGTTTTTTTTTTCTAAAATAAAATTAAAAGTTGATAAAGAATTAATATGTAGTTTTAATGAACGCTACTTTTAAAGGTGTTTAAAGACATTTCACGACATTTAAAGACTGATAGGTGAAAGTTAATTCATTATTATAATAGCTTGCCATTTTAGTTATTCTGAATAGATTGTCCTAATTACTGTTCATTAGAATTTTTAATTATTTAAACGTAGTTCCAATATTGAATTCGTAGTTTCATTCCAATAATCATGGTTTACATGAGTGATGAATGTGAATATTCGAAAAATAATAATTTTTTATCCTAAACATGTAATAACATTTTATAATTTGCAAGACAAGAAGGACGAGTATGTTTATATGTATTTATTTATTTATTTTACACTTTATTGCACCAGGTAAAAAGAAAAATAATAAATACAGTAAATATTAATGAGAAGTTATATTTCTGCAATACTAACAAATCGCAGATGCAATGTTAGAGACAATAGTGGTGGTAATTATTTACTATCATACGATTTGAATGTTCGTTAAATATCAAAAACACGGATAGGTGGGATCATGGTATAATAATACATAATTTAAGATTACAACGATTCGAACCCTGATAAAAACTATAGGAAACCGACACGAGAGTAAACTTTAACGATTACGAATGGTCAAAATTGACAAAGATATAGCGGAATTTATATTTAAAAAAAAATATTAAAAATTACTTTATACTTTATAAATTAATTATCGTGTCCAAAAAAATCGTCTTCGATTCTGACAAAACCAGTTATTTTAATCTAAAATTATTCCACTGAATCGACTTAAATAAAAATTCTATGGAACTAATCTGTAAATATATCCTTTCAGATAAAAAAAAAGAATTTTCCAAATCGGTTCAGAACTGACAGAGTTATGAGGTAACAAACATAAAAAAAAAACCAAACGAATTGACAATTTTCTTCTTTATGAAAACAATTTAAAATACAATAAAAAAAGCAGCATTAACAATGACAATTTATGGAGTCAACACAAAAAAATAAAGTCTTATCAGTTGTAAAAAATAACTATAAAAAAGTAAATAATCTTTTTTTGCTATTATGTCACGTAAAATATCCACAAAAAAAAAGAGGTGAAATCAGTACTAATTTCATTTTGAAAATGTAAAAATAATAATAAAACTACATACCTTGTTGATTTAAAAATGTAATAAATTTCTCGTACTGTTGCACAGTAAACTAACACTGCCTATTCAAAAAAATATAATGGTGAGTTGTTAAAAAAGTTATCGGTAGACAATGTAATGTGATAACAATATAATGGGGTTTCAGATATATGTTATCTTTTATATATAGACACATATATAGACAAATATTGCATACAAATATCAGATAGAAATGAAATATTATCAGTCAATTATATGCTTAAAATATTAATGTATTTGTAGCGTCGTAAAGTGCGCAGTTGTATGTATGAGTGATAACTCCTGAATGGGAGTCAATGACAGCTAGGTATAAAGTAACCGGTTACCGAGTGTTCATTGCCGTACAGTGAATTCACATGTTCGAGATGTCATGACATTGTTGATAATGAGATTATAGGAGTACAGATATCAGTTTCTGTTATCATAACAATCCGTTTCAATATCATAACAACCGACTTTGAAAGAAGGAGGTTCGTATTTTTTTTACGAGTAGTTTGTTACCTCAAAACTCCGGCAGTTATTTGTAAAGCGATATGGAATTTTTTTTTTATCTGAATTCGTAATTCGTATATCTGGTTTATTTATCTAAACCGATCTTGATAAAAAATCTGTGGTACTTAAACTGGTATTGGAGGTTTTTTTTTAGAAACAATTTAATTATAATTAGCATAATAAATAATTAAATTATTTTTGTGCCCTTGAACTGTCTTAAAAAAGAGGTTCGATTCAACTGTACGGTTCTTTTTTACGGGATGAAAATATAATGGGGAAGTACTAGTGAGTGATGGTCGAGGATGAACCCCAGGAAAGGAAGAATTTAAGGAATTAAAGAAAGAAGGAAAGAAAAAATTGTAAAAGAAAGATGTAATAAAATATGGACGCACAAGGTCCTTGATGCATAATTGTTAACGGAAATTTGCGACACTTCACAAAGTTTTTTTTTAATGGGTGAAGATGGAATGGTAACCCCGCCTGCGTTATCGGTATACGCAGGCAGAGCACCAGTGAAGGATGACAGGTGAAGATGAAGGCAGGTCAATTGGGCCATAGTGACTAATTGAACAAGAATCAAAAACTATAGTTTCTAGGGGGAACCGCGTGGAGTTCGACCTAAAAGTTCTATAGCAATGGGGCTGTTAAATCTCATTACTAATAATCCCTTTCCCCCACTTCATAGATTATGGCCAATAAAAAAATCTAGTCTATAATTACTTCTCTCCATCTGAAGGTTGCCTGGAAGAGATCTCTTTTAGCGATAAGGCCGCCCATTGTTTTCTCATTGTGATTATTTCTTGCAATTGTTTATATTTATAATAAGTTTACTATTGTAATCTTTTGGAGGAAACAATAAAGAGTATTTATCTATCTAGTTCAAACAGCTTGATAGATTTTTATATGAGGGGGTTATTTTAAAAGAAGATAAATTCTTTATGGGAGAAGAGAGAATGGAGTATACATAATTTTTATCAATGAATGATAATGGAATGGTAACCCTGCCTGCGCTAACGGTATAAGCTGGCGAGGCACCATTGAGTGATGGTAGGTGAGAATAAAAATTCAGGCCACTTAGCCCACTGTGATAAATACACCTGGAATTCAGCATGATGGTTTCCAGGGGGGGACCACGTGGAGGTCGACCAGATAGGGTATATTGCTAGCAATTGGACTGGTAGTCCCCATTAGTAACAATCCCTTTTCCCTCCAGAATGGAATATAATTAACCTCAGAGTACTTTAGATTGTAATAAAAACGCTATAGCTTAAACTAAATATGGCAGAATATATAAAAAAGTTACGGGATAAAAAATGTACAGGATAAAGTTACAAAAACCTGACCATATAATAAATATTTAAATGGTTACGAAAAAAAAAAACATTAATTCATATAACGTACATCACTTGTACAATGAAGATTAATCGATCATAATACGAGAAGTCGCTTGTCGACAAACGACCTCTATTTAAATCGATTGAAAACTCTGTAACTACATATGGGGGCTATCATGCGCGAAACAGTATACTCTGTTATGTCCATAATACTGCTCATGTCTATATGCGACGGTTACGACTTTCCATCAGGTGGGCCGTCAGCTTGTTTGCCGTTCTAAGTTGCATAAAAAAATATGTTTTTATTTTGATGTTTCCTTTTTATGTATTTATTTATTCACTTATTTTTTATTTATTTCCTTTTTACATTTCCTCTTTATCTCTTCTTATGGACAATTAACTGTGATTAAAGAGTGGTAATCATCAATGAAAATAATTTTAAAATACTTTTTCTGAAAAGGTCTTTTTAATAAGTGAAAATAGTAACTACGCTTTGTTATCGGTATACACTAGCGGGGCACCAGTATCAGATGATAGGTGAAGATGAAACCAGATCAGTTAATCCATCGTACGACGTACAGACGAATTCCACGTGAATTAACTACGATAGTTTCCAGGGGAAACTGCGTGGAGGTCGACTTGATAGGGTACGAGTGTATTGCTAGTAATGGGACTGTTAGACCCAATTACTGCTAATCTCTTTCTGCCCCCCTCGGAAAAGGTCGTCTGCACAAATTTGACCTCCATTTGTATTTTTGCCTTGAAACAACTGTGTTTACATTACTGTTTTTCTGTTTGAGGATGGATGAATATAGCAGAGAAATTACAGGGTACGGTAGCAAAACATTGTAGTCCTCGAAACTTGCCAAGTCATAATTGTCGCCATGTTGTGTTGGGTACTATGGGTGTCACAATGTTTTTATTTATTTATTTTTTTAAATTTTAATGTACAGTCGGAACAAATAGACAAATATGTAGGCGGTGCGTTTAAGAATTGAGGAAACAAACTAATAGTTAACATATTAAAGAGGATATTGTATTGAACTAGGCGTTATCTGAAGCGTTAGCGGAAGTCCATATCACTGGTTATTTGATTAAAATTATTTTGTTTAATTTCGCCATTACTATTCCTACCAAAAATTTTACCAGAGGGAGACTTTGTACAAAAGTCAATTGCATGGGTACCTCTGTCCCATTCGTGTTTCAACCGTGAAGCAGTTGTGTTTGCATAGCTGTGTTTCGGTTTGAAGGGTGGGATATGGCGTGAATTTACTGGGTACGGAGGAATAACACCTGAGTCCTCAGGAATGGCAACGCATGGGGGGTATCATGGGCGAAACAGTATACTCTGTTATGTCCATGGTACTGCTCATGTTTATAGGCGACGGTTACCACTTTCCATCAGGTGGGCCGTCAGCTTGTTTGCCATTCTAAGTTCTATAAAAAAAAAAGTGCTATAACCGTCTATATTAGCTATCAATCTCCGACTGCCATTTTGTTCACGTTTTGGCGACACGTGTTTTCTCTAAACGAGGAATTTTCTAACACATTATTAGATCGCTGCTCAGGGCCTAGTGCTAACGTTCGGCACACAAGCTGCGGAAGAAATAAGGATTAAAGAGAACAATACATCGTCACAGTCGTAGAATACTGACGGATCTTTATATGTAATATTTGTCAGATCCGTCAGTATTCTACGACTATGACGATATATCTACTGTATAGCAATATTTTATACACTTTGCTTTGTATGATGCCATTGTTTTCCTTTTATCTGATTATTTTTGTACCGATATAAATATATATATATATATATATATATATATATATATATATATATATATATATATATATATATATATATATATATATATATATATATATATATATATATATATATATATATATATATATATATATATATATATCATATGATAGAATCTAAAACGAGAATTTCTACAAAAGAACCAAAATAATCGACATAACCTGATGAATAAGCAAGCTGAAGTGGCAACGGGTTGGTCACATAGCTCGAAAAACCGACAACCGATGAGGAAGACATTTTTGAGTGAAGAGGTTCTTGAGTGGCGACCGCGTACGGGTAAAAGTAGTGTAGGATGACCCCCTCCCCCTAGATGGAGTGACGACCTAAAATGCATTGCAGGGAGTCAGTGGATGCAGGTGTCTCAGGACTGTTCTTTATGGCGGTTCATGGGGGAGGCTTATGTCCAGCAGTGGACGGATAATGGCTGAAATGATGATGATGATGATGATATATATAATGTAGGTAATATATTATTTTTAAATTGCTGTTTTAATTTTTTTATATTGTTTATGGCAAACAAGCTGACAGCCCACCTGATGGAAAGTGGTAACTGTCGCCTATACACATGAGCAGTACCATGGACATAACAGAGTATACTGTTTCGCCCATGATACCTCCCCCCCCCCATGCGTTGCCATTACTGAGGACTCAGGTGTTATTCCTCTGTACCCTGTATATACATATACGTATATTGTGACGAGATGTTGCTATCGGCGACGATTACCGCGTTCTGTTTTTTTTTTTATTGGAGGAAAATGGAGTGGTAACCCCGCCTGCGCTAACAGGATACGCTGGCGGAGCACTAGTGAAGGGTGATAGATGAGAATGAAAACAGGCCAGTTAGCCTATCATGATGAATTCATCAGGAATTAATCATGATAGTTTCCAGGGGGAACCGCGAGGAGGTCGACCTGGTCGGATATATTGCTAGCAATAGGATTCTTAGTCCCCATTACTAACAATCCCTTTTCCCCCCTACCGCCTTCTGTTAGGTGGACTCTAAAAAAGACTATATTACAAACATGCTAACTACGGTATAGTTTTGCAAAACAAACTTTGTACTTTTACTCTTAGGAGTTTTGGGCAGGAGATGGTCAAGGAGTTCAGAGGTTAACTGAATTAAGTTTAAGCAAAAGTTTCGGGCAAATAAATATGGGAAGTAGTCTTAGTGAGGCACAAGTTTGTTTTATCGGAAAATGGATCACGTAATCAGATTTTAGTATCGAATTTGTAAGTGTATTATTGTGATTACATATTATGTGCGATTGTTCATCGTACATACAGTACAATAAATACTGTATTACTGTATTTACCAGAGGGAGACTTTGTACAAAAGTCGTTAGCTTGACTCGGTTGTTATTCCTCTGTACCCTGTAAATTCACGCCATATCCCACCCTTCAAACCGAAACACAGCCACGCAAACACAACTGCTTCACGGTTGAAACACGAATGGGACAGAGGTACCCAAGCGAACGACTTTTGTACAAAGTCTCCCTCTGGTAAATAGATTGGTCAGAATCATAATGACAATATAACAACACAGCAGATTTGTATGTATTATAATGTATGTTTTAATAATGAATGATGATTAGTCTCGCCATAGTTAATTGTAAAAAAAAAACACAAGGTTATTTCTATACT